TAGGCGTTCATACCATGCTCTAGGATCCTGCTTGAGTCCATATAAGGCCTTGTCCAGTTTGTATACATGATCTGGACACTCCTTACTTTCAAACCCTGGAGGTTGTTTGACAAAGACTTATTCCTTTAAGTATCCATTTAGGAAGGCACTCTTCACATCCATTTGGTGAAGGGTAAATTCCATGTGTGCTGCAAAAGCTATGAGGAGTCTTATAGCCTCAAGTCTTGCAACTAGAGCAAAGGTCTCATCATAGTCTATGCCCTCCTCTTGGTTATATCCTTGGACCCCCAACCTTTCCTTGTTCCTTGTAACCGTTCCATCTTCATCAAGTTTGTTTCCGACGACCCATTTAGTACCAATTACCGATCTATCCTTGGGTCTTGTGACCAAATGCCACTTGACTTCTTTCAAACTTATTGAGTTCATCTTGCATTGCATTTACCCAGTCTGAATCCTGCAAAATTTTAGCAATATTTTTAGGTTCAATAAGAGATAAGAATGCATCAAAAGCACACATATTCTTTAATTGTGATCTGGTTTTAACTCCAGAAGTTAGGTCAGTAAGGATGTTCTCAATGGGATGAGAACTTTGATACTTGTAAGGTTTCACCACCAACTGATTTCTGTTTGAAGTTTCTCTCATGTTCTGTTACTAAGGAACAAGATCATGGACATGTTCCATTTGGAAATTAGATTCACTTTTTCTTTGTACAGTTCCCCTTGTCAGGTTGCCCTAGATGGAAGAACCTGTTCCATCATCTGTTCCTTCTTTTGATGCAGCTTCAGTTTGAGCTGTGACTTCACTCAATTGTTTTACCCACCCAATTGCTTCATCTTCATGTTCCTGTCTCTCAGAAAGAATGTTAGTTTCATCAAAAACTACATATACACTTTCTTCTACACACAAAGCTCTTTTGTTGTACACTTTATAAACTTTGTTATGTGAAGAATATCCCAAGAATACTCCCTCATCAATTCTGGGATCAAACTTACCTAGGGAGTCCTTTCTATTATTGTGCACAAAGCACTTGCATCCAAATGCCCTAAGATGGGATATATTTGATTTTCTCCCTTTAAGTAACTCATAGGGAGTCTTCTCTATAAGCGGTCTAGTCATGCACCTATTAACGATGTAACATGCAATATTTATAGTCTCTGCCCAGAAGCTATGGGGCAGTTTACTATAAAGAGGCATAGTCCTAGCCATATCTTCAAGAGTCATATTCTTTCTTTCAACTACTCCATTTCGTTGAAGAGTCATAGGGGTAGAGAAATTATGATTTATACCATGCTCATCACAAAATTCAGCAAACTTAGCATTTTCAAATTCAGTTCCATGATCAGACCTAATTGATGCAAGTTGATTACCTAGTTATTTTCGAGTTTTTCTAACAAAGATAGTAAACATGTCAAATGTTTCATCCTTAGATGTTAAAAACAATACCCAAGTAAACCTAGAGTAATCATCAACAAGCACCATCACATATTTCTTCCCACCTCTTTTCAATGTTCTCGTTGGACCATAGAGATCCATATGAACCAGTTCCATCGACCTGGTCGTGCTTACCACTTTCTTGCTTTTAAAAAAGGATATTACCTGCTTCCCCCTTGCACTGACCTCACAAACTTTGTCATCCTTGAACTTGATGTTAGATAACCCTATCACCATAAGAGGGGATTTTGTCCAACACACTTAAGAAATTGAGTTTGTTTTCTGAAAGAGTGGACAAATCTACAATGTAAATATTGTTAACTCTTTTTCCCTGCAAAACAATCTTGCTAGTGGTAAGATTAATCGCAAAACATTTGGTAGAGGTGAATGCTACCAGGTTACCTTTATCACATAGTTGTGATACACTGACTAGGCTATATTTCAAGACATCTATCAAGTAGACATTCTCAATGGAATGTTAGTCTGTCTTACCTACCTTTCCAACCCCAATGATCTCACCTTTCTTACCATTTACAAAGGAGACATTACCTCATTTTAGGTCCTCAAAAGAAAGGAATTGGGTCATACTTTCAGTCATATGCTTTGAGCAGCCACTATCCATGTACCATATTTGGCTACTTACCTTCACTTGGACCTGTAAAATAAAATCAAGGCTTAGTCTTAGGAACTCAAACTAGTTTGGGTCCCTTTCTATAGGCAAATGAGTGAATTAAATTCTTTTTAGCCCATCCAGGCAACCTATTTTTCTCTTGAACAAAGATTTTGTTCTTTTAACTGGCCTTTTCTTTTGCATTATATTCACTTTTGTAATGACAAGTCTTGCTATAGTGTGTGCAGATTTTGTTCTCAGGAAGTGTGATGTACTTGCTTTTGGGATCCCACTTAGGTGCTGGGGTCCCATAACCAAGTCCTCTCTCATTGCTACTATGATGCTTTTGTAGCCAGGATAGTGTATCAGAAGACTTATTCTATTTGCAAGTTCTATTTAGTTCATGTTTCACCTTGCCTAAATCTTCATTTAGGACTCTTATCTACTCATATCTCTTGTACAACTCATCCTTCATTTTTTCTAGATTTTCTTCTAAGGTGAGGTGTGTGTAATCAGCTTTCCTTGTACATGTTCCTAATTTCAGTTTTAAATTTTCAGATCTATGTTCTAAGATAGTGGTGTCAAGTTCAAGAACCTAGTTCTTCAACTTAGTATTTTTACTGTCACTTTCACTAGTCCTGAGTTCCAGATTTTTGCACTTAGCTTTTAAGATCACACATTCCCTAGACAGCTGTTCCTTCTCATTGTTTATGACCTTAGACTCATCAATGAAGTCTAGTAGTAATTCAGATAGCTTTTCTTAAGACAAAAATTTAATCTTGTCTTTGAGATGAATCACACTTACATCTTGTTCATCATCTAATTCTCCAATGGCCATAAGTGCTTGTTCGTCTCCAGATTCATCTTCTGAATCATCATCTGAGCTTTCTCCCCAAGCAGCAACCATAGCCTTTGTTGATCCTTTGTTCTTCTTGGGTTGAACCTGTTCCTTCTTCCTGTTTCTTCGTTCAACCCTTTATTTCTTCCATTCAATTTCCTACTGAGGACAATTCTTGATCATGTGGTTAGTCTTACCACATTTGTGTCAGCCTTCGCTGGTCTGTTTTTCAAGCACTTGGATTGTTGAAGGTTGCACCTCTTGAAGAACCCTTTCCTCTGATTAGGTACTTCTTGAAATCCCTTGTGATCATAGCCATTTCATCATCCTCTAAGTTTGCACCTTCAGCTATTCTAAGAGCCATACTTCTTTCCTTCTTGGGTGCATCCATCTTCATGGTTTGCCTTCTCAGTCCATAGGCAGTGAGATTTCCAATCAGCTCATCCAACTTGAGAATAACAATGTTCCTTGATTCCTGAATAGCAGTGATTTTGCTTTCCCAAGTTACTAGCAAGACCCTTGACAAGATTTTCTCAACCTAGTCTTCTTCAAGGATAATTCATCCAAGAGACTTAAGTTCATTTGTTAGTGTTGTGAATCTTGTGTGCATCACTTGGATGGTTTCACCTTTCTTCGTGGTGAAATTCTCTTATTAAGAATACAGTAGTGTTCCCCTTGATCTCTTTACTTGAGGAGTTCCTACATGGGCCGCTTGTAGAGTGTCCCAGATCTCCTTAGTAGTAGTACATCTTTGAATTTTGCTATACTCGTCTGGACCTAGTCCACACACAAACAATTTCTTGGCCTTGGCATTATTTTTCCATTTCTTCAAATCTTTAGCAGTACAGTCAGCTCTCGTCTTTGACACGTCCACTCCTTCAGCATTCTTCTTTGTGATAGCCAGGGGATCATTAGTAACAAAGTCCCAAAGTTCATAGTCTTCTCCNCACAAGAGGGGGGAGGGGAGGTGATTTATGTGGTACCCAGTTTTTGCTTAACTTGATTATAGAAGGACCTAGTTCTTCTATGTGTTACAACTGCCATTGTTACGGAATAATAAATACAAAAAATAAAGAACATAGAGATTTTATGTGGAAAACACCTTGCTCAAAAGGTGAAAAACCACAACCTACCTTCCAGTAGAATTTTCCCAAACTCTCCACTAAAATCACTGAGCCAAAAGCTGCATTTACAAAAAACTCTTTTGTAAACATCGGATTAACTCTAATCCCATTGTGGCACACAGCCACAACTGTTGCGACAACTTCAAGTTAACTCTAACTTGGAAACTCTAAGTACCTAATACAATTACTTCTAAATAAGCTGAAAGGTACAATGTAAAATCACCTACTAGAATTGAACTAGAATAATAGATAGAAACTTGGAGCTGATTCTTCTATCTGGTTCAAGTAGCTTCAGGTTTGCACACTTGAATCAATATGCAACATTTTCGATCATGATCAGGAGATATCACTTCTGATAAGTTAGGTTTGTCTCCTTCACGTGCATCTCACATGTATTATAACTGTGTTTTACAAGATCGACCTTGTCCATATCTGAATTCCCTAAACTTCACCTTTACTTGGCCAACAATAACTGACAAGAACTTTTCGTTGTTATTCATCAAAACTCACATAGCTCAAGATCAACAATACACAAAACAAAATATGATGATTCCATCATATTATCGTTTTGTTGGTTACTAAAACCTAATCATCATATTATATTTTTTTGGTTACTAAAACGAGGCATTTTATTTATTGAAGCGGGAATAAAGGATTACAAAGAGGGGGCTGAACGTAGAGTTACAATCCCCTGCGAGTCCAAAAGTAAGCGCGGTAATAAAAAGGGTGGAGGGTTATCAAAAACTACAACATGCCAAAGCTCCCTCAATGCCATTACCCTCCCTATAGGAGTGTTGGACCTCTGGCATCCCTCTAGTATCTCTTCTTTATAATGGAGGGATGTAAGTAAGTATATTTAGTTCACACGGATAGCATGTCACTGCATTACAAAATATAAAAACAACAGAAAATCTTATTTGACAGCTTGTGTGTAAAGCTATAATGATATATCTATATATGAAAAAGGACACAAATATTATAAATAAGGAAACACCAACGGGAGAAAGTACGATGGTAGGGTTGACAAGGAAATTCAAATGCAAGATTCTTCTTTTAAGAAAAGGTTTGACGCCATGAGATCACTTTTGACAATGTTGATAAGGAGTAGCGATCAAGTGTAGGTCATTCTTTCTAGCACAAGCTGCTCCAGCCGCCTCAGCAAGTCTAGTTCACTTGGATTGATTCCAGTAGGGAGTTTCCAGTCAAAATGATACAACAGTTAAGCCAGTGGAAAATAAACATTTGCTAAACCAAATGATATTCCAGGGCAAATTCTCCTTCCGATGCCAAAGGGAATATATTCATAATTATTACCAATATAATTCATAGAGTTGTGTTCAAATCTCTCAGGTTTAAAGCTTTCTACGTCATCCCAATATTTTGGATCTCTTCTAATTGCCCAAACATTAACCACGACTTTTGTTTTCAATGGAATAGTGTAGCCGTTTAAGTCTGTTTCTTCTCTACATTCTCTTGGAAGCAAAAGAGGTAGTGGAGGATGGAGTCTAAAAGTTTCTTTAATGACCATCTTTAGGAATTTAAACTCCTCGACATTAATTTCACCAAAATTTTCTTTCCCTCTCAAGATTTTTCTTACCTCTGCTTGATCTTTGAAAAATACACTTGGATTCTTCATCATTTCCACCATGGCCCAGTTAATTGTTGTTGATGAAGTATCTGTTCCCGCACCAAAGATGTCCTTCATTTTCGAGCAAGTTACAATATTCATTTCTCTTACAAACTTATTGACAAATTTCTACTGAAATATTCAAATAACATATTTGTACTACGTTTGTGCTACTACCTTTATTCTACACCAAAAGGAGCTTTTAAATTTTCAATGCCAAAACCCCCGCCAAAAAAAAAAATTATCATGTTATTTTGCTACTTGTTTCGTTATCCTAATGCCAAGTTGTGGTGATTGAAATAACATTTGTTGTAATTTTCAAATGTGTAAATTTTATGACGAAAGTAAGATTAGTTGTCCTAATTGAAAGCTAACTAAAGTGACTCTTTAAGTACAAAAATTAATTATGCAATTTGAGAACGTTAGTATTAAAGATAAATAATAATACTTCATCAATTTCACTTTATATGGCACGATATAACTAGATACAAACTTTAAGAAAGACAGAAGTAATTTTCGAACTTGTGGTATTAAATATGTCATGAAATTCATGTGGCTATAAAAACATATCATTAAAAGTAAAATAGGAAGTTTAAAGTTAAATTATTTCTTATATAAAAATACGTCAATTCTTTATGGAATAGAATAAAAACAAGTTCCACAAAAAATAGAATTGAAAGAGTACTAATAATGAAAATAGAAGTATGCAGTATATAGTACTTACAAAAATGATAGCTTTGATGTTGTCGTTAGTGATTAGAAATTGAAGGCCTCCCTCTTTCATAAGTCTTAGCAGTACACCAATTATACCTTCACCTCCGGATTCACCATCGCTCTTTGAAGTCTTCTTGTGCTCATTGATGTTTATGTTATTTTGGAAAAATATACTCCCTCCGTTTCAATTTATGTGAACCTATTTCCTTTTTAGTCCGTGCCAAAAAGAATGACCCATTTCCTTATTTGGAAACAATTTACCTTTACATAAAGATTTATAGCCACACATAATATATGTGCCTCATTTTAGACCACAAGATCAAAAGTCTTCTTTCTTTCCTTAAACAACGTGCCCAGTCAAATGAGTTCACATAAATTGAAACGGAGGGAGTAACTTTTATAGTTAAAATTAAATTTTTATAACTTGATATTGTTTGAGCAACTCTTATTTTTGTCATTGAAAAAAAGTTATTCACTTATGAAATTTTGTACATATAACTTATTGTGGTTAAAATACTATTATTGAAATGACAATAATAGTTGTACAACTAAAGTATAGTACTTGTAAATTTATCGTCTCTTTAAATTTGTATCTATTATTTTTTCATGGCAAATAGTAGTAACTATTATCTAACTATTTTATTTTCTTAAAATAAGAAGATAAATATTTATTTGACTACAAAATTTTGTTTCAAATGTTTAATGTGGCTAGAAGATTGCTACTGTGATGGAAAATTTACCTTGTGGCAAACATTAATGATTAGTTACAAAATTTATCGTAGCAATAAATTCGTGGTTATATCATTTTATCGTGATGACTATTGCCATGACTTTTTAGAACTTGAAGCAAAGTTATTTATTTGGTAATATTTGATTTAAATGGTTTATTGTGCCTAAAAGGTTATTGCTGTTATATTAAGTTTCAACTCGTGGTAAAAATTAATGATCAGCTACGAAATTCTATTAAAGCAAGAAACATGTGGCTAATATAATCTATATTGCCACAACTTTTAATAACTTGAAGCAAAAATATTCACTTAGCTACAATATTTTCTTTCAAATAAATTATTGTGGCTAAAAAGTTACTATATCTATAGTAATTTTCAACTCGTGGAAAAAAACTAAGAATTAGCTACATAATTCAATTATACCAATAAATCTGTGACTATATCATTTAACTATTGCCACAACGTTTTAGAACTTAAAGCAAAAATATTTATTTAGCTACAATATTTTATTTTAAATAATTTATTGTGGCTAAGAGGTAACTATTGCTACAGTAACTATTGATTCGTGGCAAAAACAATTATGATTAGCTACCATATTTTATTTGTAGCAATAAATTTATAGCTATTTAGGTATTTATTGCCACGATTACTAGCAATTGTAGCTAATATGAGGAATTAGCTTTATCAACTTAATTTTTGTAGCAAAGAAATTTTATAGTTTTGCAAATAGCCATAGAATTTTAATTTTTATGGCTATTATCAAGTATTAGCTATGTGAGTTAGGCATACCTAACTTGTTTCTCCTTATCAGCCTCCAAATTAAGTTTACAAGTCTTTCTATTGTTTTGCTTCAGGTGCCAAAGACTTTTCTCTATGCACTTATCTCTAGCTACATTTATTCCTAGTTTGTAAACGACTAGGTATACACAGTGAATGTTACCCAAAAAAAAAAAAAGATTAGAAGAATACACAGTAAATGTGCTTATTCTCCTTTTTTACCGATCTTTGGTTATATTTATGTTAACCAAAAGGTTATATCGCATTTGTGTGATTACCCAAAAGGTCATCTTATATTTCAGAACTCGATCCTGCGTTCCGAAGTCCTTAAAGCCTCATTTTATTCCTCCGCAAATTGCGTGCGCGGTCCAGGTGAGTTTCCGAGCTAGCATATATTCTTATGCTAGATCAATATTCGATAAACATAAATATATGGATACAACTGGTTGTGAAACTGCTCCCTCTACTTCTAAGTCTAGAGCAGAAGTTTTTTTGGGAAGATATGAATGATATAATAGGTTTTGATTCCTCTATTGATGACGAACTTGATTCTTATCTTAATCAAGGATTAGAAAATATTAAAGACGAAGAAGACAAGGAACAACTGTTGTCATGGTGGAGGGAGCGTGGCAAGACTTCTCTAACACTTTCAATTATGGCCCGAGATATCCTGACTATTCAAGCATCATCAGTAGCATCGGAGAGTGCTTTTAGCGTGGTAGGATTTCAAATTGGAGATCATAGACATTCATTAGCGGATGACAGTCTAGAAATTTCCGTATTATTAAGATATTGGATTAATTCGGAAAGAAGAAATCTTGGTTTTGAAAAATTAACCACTAGGGAAAAAGAAGAATACAATGAGATACTAACCACTGGGAGCGATGACGACATGGAGCTCATGGAACATCAATCAACATTGCCAATTCCAGCAGAATGTCCGAGAGATATTATTAATAAGTTACAAAGAAGCTGTATAGGGGCTTACAAATATTAGTATGATAATTTGTAATTGGATACTAAGAGGCCTAGTTCAAACAGAACCCTTCCTAAAAGGTGGCTACATCGATTAGGTGCTCTTCAAAAGAATTATATTTGTATTTGAGATTTGAAAGTTCTATTAATAAAATAAAAGGATCTAAGTGTTGAATTTTATTTATGAATTGTCTTAGTTACTTAATAGTTAATACTTTGAAATTATATTAAATAAATTATAACTCTATTATAAATTTATATTACTAAAATATTTCATTACAAGTCTTTTGTTTTAATATTTTATAATTTTTTACTTAGTTTTTTAATTTTTATTTTAACATAGTAACATTTAAGTTTATTAAATAAGTCAAAAATCTAGTCGTTGCAAACTTTAAAAACATAATAATTTTCAAAAAACTAGATATTTAAAAAAAAAAATACACTTAAGGCCCACGAACTCATCCCGTCCCGTTCCATCCCATCCCATCCCATTTGTTAGCGGGACGGAATGGGACGTTTCGTGTCGTTTGTCCTGTCCCGTTTCGTCCCATCCCGCTACCGTCCCGCTTAAATGTCGTCCCATCCCGTCCCGTTAATTTGGTCCCGTCCTATCCTGTTGGACAACCATACTGTCCACATAAGAAGTTTTAGCTACGAAGTGATAAGTCTGGATGTGTAGTACATGCCGGCTCTAACCTTATGGTAATAAGGCTTTGTGCCTTAGGTCCCTAAATATGGGAGGGGTGGGGGGAGGGGGGCATTTTTAGAAATAATATTTAATATTTTTAGTATAAAAGTAGATTATGAAAGAAATAATAGAGAAGAGAGATTTACAACTGTAATGATTTTCGCAAGAAAATTACATTTAAGATAAATGTAGAACTTGAATTTTGTAATAAACATATAATTTGTAGAAAAAAATTAAAGTGAGAACGTTGATGATGAAATCACAAAGTTTTTTAAATTTTTTTTAGAGTTGATTACTTCCTATATATAGTAGATCAAGCCATTTTTCACTTAAAGATAGATTTGAACAATTTGAAGTATATGAAGATATTTTTAATTTCATATTAGAAGGTAAACAAAATGAGGTCATTAGATGGCCAAAATATGAAAAAGTAGTGCCTTAACTTTGAATGTTCCTTAAAACATAATAGTCAAGCTCATATTTATGGTTTAGACTTGAGAAAAATAGTACCAGTAGAATATAATAGATTAATGGATATACTCAGTTATAATAAACAGTTTTGATTTTTTAAATGCTTATTTTGCTTATAGAATAATGTTAACAGTTACTATAATATATATAGTTACCTCAACCAAAAGAAGTTTTTCAAAATTAACATTGATAAAATCTTACTTAAGATCAATAATATCTCAAGAAAGATTAATTAATGGGTTAATCATATTATCAATTAATTATTAGAAAAAATCAA